CTCTATATGAACAAAACACATTAATCTCAAAGACAGAAAGTGTAGAGACAGCATAGAATTCATTGACTTCCCAGTGGAACATGTCAAGTGGAAAAAACTAAGCATTGTAATGGAAGAAATAATACAAGAAAACTTCCCAGAATTTCTGAACAACAACAACAAAAGCACCATTCAGGAGGACCCACAGATCACCTCCAAGGGAAAAAAAAACCAAAAACCAAAAACAAAACCCTGTGCTTCAAACTCCAAAATGTACAGTGGTTGAATCAATTCCAATAACAACAAATTCTGGAAATGACTAGGAGCTAGCAAATTTCCTTTAATTATAAAGTAAAGGAAATCTAAATAATGCAAGACTATTTTGTACCCATCAGAAACTGCAGAGGGGGATGGAATAATATATTCTGAAAAGCAAAGGACCTCAAGATGCAACCCAAAATGACATATTATTCTGCAAACCTATGTTTAACACCCATGGTGGAGGGAGGGAGGAGAGAAAGGATGGACTTTCAATGGAAGAGGCTTTTGAGGCATCCCTGGAAAAATAAAACAAAAATTAAAAATAAAAAAGCCAGGTATGAGTAGATTATTTGACTTGCAAACACACCAAACAAAAAGAAACCCAAGAAAGAGAGATAAATACAACTACCAAGTAAAGCACAAAGCAAAGAGGCACAGAGAGTCATGTATGTAACTACAGATCAGATTTGGGCAGCATAGACCTGTAGCAGGTAGAGGAGTGCTTGAGGGGCAGGGATTTAGGGTCCCATTTTTATAGTTTTAGTGGTGGAGGATAGATGAACTTTTATCCATAGCGCCTTAGATTTATCTGATTATCATATCAACATTGGTTTTAAAGTTATCAGCATCACCTGAAGGTTCCCTCATTTATGTAACATTTTTTCTTGTTTTTGTTGAGCAAGCCTGGAGCTTATAGACTGAAAGCAGTTAGTAGGATCAAGTGCAGTTACACTGGGGCCTAACTGACTTCTCCTAATTTAGTACAGTCTCAGGATGTGACCTCCGAATTTTTGAGGTAGTTGCAAATGGCTTCTCAGTTTCCTTAATTTATGTGACAAGTGTGCAAGTGGCTTCTATGCCCCCCTTTTTATGATACAGTTTTGCAAATGACTTCTATGTTCCCCTTTTGCAATCTTCCTATTATTGTTACCTTAAATTGGCTACTACATACTTACTGTATGAATGGTAAGGGAGGGGGAGATGAAAGGGACCAGAACAAGATATAATTTTAACACGCTATTAGAAGAAGGGAATTTAAAAAAAAACCCATCTAGAAAGACAATCCCCACCTCCTCAAAGGGGTTAAAAAGAAGAAATATAAAAGAAAAAAAATTTCTCATTTTAGAGAATCCCTATAAATATAAACTGATAAGAGTGAAGTGAGCATAATATATACAGGGACAACATTGGAAACAGCTTTGAAAGACTAAAGAAAAGCAGTAAACAACAAAAAATTGATAAAAGGTCCTGAGGACCCATGATGAAACATGTTACCCATCTCCTGACAGAGATGATGGACCCAAGGTACGGGGGGGGAATACAATTTTGGCCGTGGCTACCACTGTTCATTTTACTTAACTATGCTTTTTTGTTATAAGAGGTTCCCTTTCACCCCATTTTTAATTGTGGTAAGGTGAAGTTTGAGAGAAAGGATTAAGTTTTCAATAGTAATGCAGAGGAAAAAAAAGAGTGAGCCATTAAAATGTTTTAAAAATACACAGAAAAGTTCACAGGGAATCACAGATATATAGGACAGTTTTGAAAGTAACATTTTGAATTTATTATGTACTTTTAAATGCATATATTTATTATTTATTTTTAACATTCTTTTTAAAAAATTTTGAGTTTCAAATTCCTTCACATCCGCTCATTGAGAAGGCAAGCAATATATCAATTACATGTGAAATCATGCAAAACCTTTCCATATTAGCCATATCACCAAAAAAAAGGAAGACAAATAATGAAAATGAAAAAAATAAACTCCAGTTTGCACTCAGAATTCTTCACTTCTTTCTCTGGAGGTGGAAGCAGTTTTCATCATGAGTCCTTTAGAATTTTCTTGGATCATTGTATTGATCAGAGTAACTAAACCTTTCACATTTGATCATCATTACAATTTTGCTGTTACTATGTACAGTGATCTTCTGATCATTATGCTCACTTCACTTTGCATTAGTTCATATAAGTTTTGCCATGTTTTTCTGAAACTGTCTCCCTCATCAGCACAGTAGTACTCCATCACGATCATATGATACAATTTGTTGAGCCATTCCCTAATTGATGGGCATCCCCTCAATTTCCAATTTTTTGCCACCACAGAAAGGTTACTATAAATGTTTTTTTTTCCTTTTCCTATGATCTCTTTGGGGTATAGACCTAGTAGTGGTATTGCTGGGTCAAAGTGAACACACAGTTTTATAGCCCTTCTGAATTGTTCTCCAGAATGGTTGGACCAGTTCATAACTCCACCTCCCATTTATCAGTGTACCTACTTTCCCTCATCCCTTCTAGTATTTGTCATTTTTAATAGATGTGAGATAATGTCTCAGAGTTGTTTTAATTTGCATTCCTCTAATCAATAGTGATTTAGAGCATTTTTTCATATGACTATAGATAGCTTTGATTTCTCAAAATTGACTGTTCATATCTTTTGACAATTTATCAATTGGGAAATAGCTTTTTTTTAAAATAAATTTAACTCAGTTCCCTATGTATTTGAGAAATGAGGACTTTATCAGAGAAACAAATATTTTTGATATTTATTATCTGTGGTACCTTTTATCAAAATGTAGTTTCCTCATTTTAACACTATGTGTGTCTTTCTATTTCAACTGTTTCAGCCTATTCTTGGATTCTAGGTTCTAACCCAGGGGTGGGAAACCTGTAGCTTCAAGACCATATGTGGCCCTAGAGGTCCTCAAGTGCAGCCCTTTGACTGAGTCCAAGTTTTACAGAACAAATCCTTTTAAGAGGATTTTTTACCAGCCCTCCCTTTTATCACTACCAACACCCTTTCTCTTAGCCCCTTTCCCCCTATTTTCCTGATGGGTAAGATGGATTTCTATACCCAACTGAGTGTGTATAAATATATATTTGTTTGTGTGTGTGTGTATGTATATATATATATATTTTTTTTTCTTTCTATATGTGTATATATATATATATATATATTCTTTCTTTGAACCAATTCCGATGAGAATGAGGTTCAAGCCTTATTGGGCTTTTGTCCAGTTAGCATTTTTCTTTGAGGCTTAGGTTATAGCTATTTTTAAACATTGCTGTCTTCTTCTGAGTTAATGTCTTGGTCTTCCCTGCCACTGGTATCTTTTTATGGTCAGGTTCTTTTTTTTACTGTTTGCTCATTTTTCCAGACTATTTCTTGACTTTGAATTCAAATTTAAAGTTGGGCTCTGCTTAGTAGGAGGTGGAGCAACATTGACCCATACTTCAGGCTTTTTCATGCTGCTGTTTTCAGAACTAGCTCTGGGTGTCTGCAAGTTTTCAATGCTTTCAAGGTGTGATCCAGGGAGAGGTGTAGTCACTGCTCTCTTGGTCTGTGGTCTAAAGTTTATTGAAGAACAGCCCTTGGTCCCATGCAGCCTCAAGCATTAGTGGTCTGCTTAGCCCTGGAATTGTGACCATATCCCCTCTCTAAAGCTGCAAGTGTTAATGTTCCTCTCTGCCTTGTGACTATGACCAGGGTCCCTGCTTCCTTGTGACAGAGCAGAGTATTCCCTCCACCCTGCTACTGTGACCCAGAACTGCTTATGGGCAACACAGTTGTCAAATAGCACCATTGCAGTCCGTGCAAGAAAAGTCCCAGTAATCTCTTTCTGAATAGTTGTCTGACCCCCTTACTGTTTCTGGTCTGGAAAGTGCTATTGCTGCTGTTGGCAACCATTTCCAACGCTCACTAATGGTGTTGCCTCTGTGTGTGCTCCTGACTAGCTCCCACCCTGGTGTCACAGACCTCTCCTGCTGATCTCCTAAATTGTCATAGGCTGGAAAAATGTCTCACTCTGACCTTTTGTTGGCTCTGCCACGCTACACCTTGATTTGAAGCAGTATTTTAAAGTCCTTTGGAGGGGAATGTTGGGAGAGTTTGCCTGACTTGCTGCCTCTCATCTGCCATCTTGGCTGCTCTTGTTATTTACTTTTTAGAAAAACAAGTGGCAAGAATTAGAGATTTAAAATTTCATATTTTTTTTGTTACATATATGGAAATGCTCATTTTTTGATGTTTTCATTTAGAATAACAATTTAATGTTAAAAACCATTAAAGAATGAAATCTCTGTGTTTTCTCTGTCACTCTCTCTAGTCTATCCATGTTAATTGGTATAGGCTCCCTAGTTCCTCTGTTGGGCTTGAGAGCCTTTGAACAGATAGAGTTAGATTATACAAATAAGCACATATATATATATTTGTAATGTGTGAATCTATACATTATAATGATATTGTAAAATAGCCTCTATTAACTATGTTATGCTTTCTACTATAGGCTCTCCAGCCTGAGAGAAAATCAATTTTTGAACTAATCAATGAACTGATATATAACAGTATGATCATATACTGTTCTGTTGTTTCTCAAGTATTTTGTGTGTGTTTGTGAATATCCTTAGCTAGATTGTGATCTCCCTGAACATAATATCTGTATCTTGTACTTTTTTTCATATTTCTCATAGGGAATACAGTGTACAGGAATACAGGAGTACAGTGCCAGGCACATAGTAGTTACTTAATAAATTTTTGTGAACTTGAATTTGTAATTTTTCTAGTTGTTGCTCTAGTATAACTATACTACTTTAAATTCAGTTCCTTTCTCTACAGTATTACAGAATAAAATTTCAAATTACATCTATCATCAGATCAATTTAATAAAATCTAATATGTCTAAAACCTTTTGAAATGAATTTAACTTTAAAAAAGTTTTTTAAAAACAAAATTAATTTAACTTTAAAATATCTCTTCTACCTTACAGTGCCTGCTAGAACTACAGAATGAAGCTGTATTTATGTGGACGGCCGAATTGGAAAATATAGCCACATTATCTTTTAAGGCTTTGGAAAGCTCAAATTATGGGGTTCGAGTGGCAGTGGCAAAACTCTTGGGAACAGTCATGGCTACAGCATTGATGCCTAAACAGGCAACAGGTACTGAATTATCATAAACACATCATATGCCTATACTTTTTTATTTCATATGTTTTTAACATTTTTCCATGACAAATCTTAAACTAATAACCATTATCATTTCTGGATTCATCTAATGTTAGTTTCTTTGTAAAAATTTAAATTCCATGAAAACTTTGCCATTATTTTGACCAAAAGATGTTATTCACAGGTATTTAGTATATTCTCCAAAATTAGTTATGCAGTGGATTAAGTTTTGATAAAAATTTAAAATTGACAAAGTTGTTCTTGTTTAGTTGTTTTCAGTTGCGTCTGGCTCTTTGTGACCCCATTGAGGTTTTCTTGGCAGATACTGGAGCGGTTTGCATTTTCCTTCTCTAGCTCATTTTATACATGGGGAAACTGAAGCAAATAGTGTTAAGTGACTTGCCCAGGGTCACACAGCTAGTAAGTGTTTGGGTCAGATTTGAACTCAGAAAGATGAGTCTTCCTGACTCCAGGCCTGACACTCTATTCACTGCTCCACCTAGCTACCCCTTAAATAGTTTTGTCTTAAAATATGAAAATTCCCATTAAATAGATGGTTGAAATAGTTTGCATATAATTTTGATACAGTCATACTAATAGTACTTTTAAAATTCTTCACGTTCTTTTGAAAGTGAGTCCTACTTTCACTGCTGATTGTATCATGAAAATGACCTTAGATTATCTCAGTAGAGCACATTGTCTGGCAGATCCTGGCTTGATGGAAAGTCTGTGCATAGGTGTCATGATATCTTTTCCCTACACTGTCATAATTTCTTAGCGTACTCCTGGTCAGACACTGTCCCCCGTCTCTTTCTCTGTCTTCCTTTGCTTTTTCTTGAATTTCCCCGCAGGATTCTGTCTGGTGTGTTTTCTAAATCTGTTTGATGGAGTTTTGGGGGGTAGAGGCTTGCTGTACTTCTTCCTACTACTCCTTCATCTTGGCTCAGCTATCCTGTATTATATTTTAATGCTAGTAAAAAGTAACAATAACTTTAAATTCTTGAAGCCAACCATGGTTATTGAGTATGCATTATAGTGGCAAAATACATGTAGTATATTTTAGAAAGACTTTTTAAGAGTAAACCTAAAGTACAATTTTTTTGCAATCTAAATTAGTTAATCATGGAAAGCTAGCTTCTTAGACTACTTTTCATCAGGAAAAAACAATATATTTTATATGGCTACAAATTTTATCTTTCTTTTTTTCTCTAAAAGTAATGCGCCAGAATGTGAAAAGAGCTACTTTAGATGAAGTCTTAGAGCTCATGGCCACAGGATTTCTACGTGGAGGGTCTGGATTCTTAAAGAGTGGAGGAGAAATGCTAAAAGTTGGTGGTTCAGTTAATCGTGAAGTAAGAGTTGGAGTTACACAGGTTTGTAATAGCTTTGTAAAAATAGTCATTGTTTCTTATTTTTTGTTTCATAAATTTTATAAAACCAGTTGCCAAATAATAGCAAATACATAGGCATTTGTAACTTTATATATGAAATATCACTTTGATATTTTACCTTGATTTCTTTAAATAAACTTTCTATAACATGTTTCATTCATCCTCTTAAATTACATGTTTATACATACATATGATTAATTATTCACATAATGCATAAATGTGTATCTATCTGTTTGGAAGTTAGCATTTCAACAGTTACACAAGCCTTTTGGTTATTTTTAACTCAAATTAGGCTAATAAGGGCATTAACATCCAAGAGTCAGAATTTTAATTAAAATTGAAAAATTCTTATGTCTTTAGAAGGTTATTTAAAACTGATGATTATCTTCTTACCAACTGCCTATCTGACATTGTGAACTGAATGTCTAAAAGTCATCTGAAACTCATCATGCCCAAAGTAGAGTTCAAATTCACCCTTCTTCTGAACTGTTCTATTACTTTGAAAGCCACCATTGTCCTTCCATTTTTCCAGGGTCACAATCTTAGTCTTATCCTCCATTCCTCATTCTCACTCATCCAGCATATCTGAGATCACTTGCCAAATCTTGCTGTTTCTCTCTCTCTATCTCATATCTATCTCCTCAAAACTCGCAAAGCTACCACCATAATTTAGACCCTCTTTATCTCTTGCCTAGCCTACTACAAGAGCCCCCTAAGTGATCTCCCTGCCTCATTCTTCTTACTATTCCAATCCATCTTCCACATAACACCAAAGTGAATTTCTTTAAAGTGTAGATCTGATGATGTCACTTTTCTACACAATAAACTCCACTGGTTCCCTCTTACTTTTAAGGTCACCTATCAAGTCCTCTGTTTGCCATTTAAATCTCTTTACATTTTGCCTCTTCCTATCTTTCCAGGTCTCTTAGAAAGCCTCCATGTATGATGCAATCCAGCTGCACTAACCTACTTGCTCTTCCATCTCCCATTTCTCTGACTTTGTACTTTCTTTTCTCCTGTGTATAGATCGTACTTATTTCTCATCTCTGCCTCTAGAAATCCTTGGATTTCTTTCAGACTTGGCTCAAGTGCCACCTTCTACTTGGCCTTTTTTCTAATCCCTTACCTGCTGGTGCACTCCTTTCCAAAACTACCTTTTATTGATTTTATGTGTATTATATGTATATTTTCTCCTCCATTAGATGCAAGCTCCTTAGCACCAGGGATTCTTTCACCTTTTGCTTTTCACAAATTAGAAACTTAATAAATGCTTGCTTGCTTGCTTGATTACATGTAAAATTTCTAGAGCCATTGATCAGTTCAAAGATATATTTTTCCTGCCTTTAGTAGGAGCTAAAGGAGGTTTGTGATGACTGAGTCACAATCCTCCCAGCAGGCTGTGCATTTGGAATAAGTGAAAATGAATATTCTATAGAATCTTAGCCTCTACATTTTGGAGAAGGTTAGAGAAGCAGAGTTTTGTAGCCTTACAGCAGTATTTCATCATTTTCTCCATTTCAAAATGTAATTTTTTTTTACCATGTATATTTTTTTATGAAGTGGATTTGGGCTTTGCTTTTTGAAGTTGTTTTATTTGTAAATGGAATGAATTTGTTTTGTTTTAGGACTTAAATTACATTTTATTCTGCTTGCAGGCATATGTTGTTTTTGTTACAACATTAGGTGGTCAGTGGTTAGAACGCAGCTTTGCTACATTCTTATCTCATGTACTTGATCTGGTTTCACACCCTCGGGCCACCCAAACACATGTAGAAGCTGTGTACTCAAGAAGGTGTGTCTCCTTTATCCTCAGAGCTACTGTAGGCAGTTTGCTTGGGGAAAAAGCTCAGATTGCAGCTGCCAAAGAAATCTGCCAAGCCATTGGAAAACAAATGAAAGCAGTGGGTGAGTATTATTTTTCTTTCACTTTAAAAACAAATTTTGGAAATTAATAATACATGGGATCACAAATCATATTTATACAGTGTGAAGGGACCACAGAGGCTGTCTAGTTCCACTGCCTCTTTCTTCATATGAAGAAACTGAAGACCAGGGAGATGTGTGTGTGTGTAACTTGCCCAAGATCACAAAGGAGGCAAGATTTAAACCCAAGTTCTCTTGATTCCAGAGCCTGCATAATGTCTGATACCTCTAAGGAGGTAATGTTTGTCACAATTACTTTAATCACTGATTCTTCAAATATTTCTAAAATGCTTGAAAGTTTTTTCCCAAATAATTTAATCATCTGCCTATGATCTTGTTTATTATGAATTTGTTTAGCAAACAAATATCTTTTGAAGAAAACTAAATTCAGACCCATCCTCATCTTGAATGATCATGAATTATGGGTTAATGAGATTCATACTAGTGAAGTTTTACTTTAAAGATATTTAGTTAATAATTTCTTCTATAATGACAGCTTGATAAAGGCTGAATTTGTGTATTATCCAAAATGAAACAGACTCTAAAGATAAAAAATCTTGTAGTTAATTATTTATAGCTTATTTATTATCACAATTTGGAACCTTGTTAACCTAAATTTAATTAAACTATAAGAAGTTAGAATATTAAATTAGCCAGTGCATTGCATCTTTTGGTATACTTACAGATAAAATTTAGTATTAGAGGCATAAGACTTCAATCAACTTAAAGGTCATCCTTATATTCTACTTCTCTTCGATTTTCATTAATTATGCCTATCTGCAGGTTAGATATCATGGGTAGAAAAATAGTCTCCTTTCGTAGTTATCATGGAGACCATGAATTATCTTTGTTTCTTAACAAAGGTTTTTTATCTTTGGCTGGCAATTAAAAAAAAATTATCTGGTTCTTTGTTGCACAATATTTAACATCAAGTAACAGGGCTAGTGGCTCTTTGAAAATGAGTCCAGTAACAAGCTTTAAAGTTATTTTGATTGCAGGCCTTATATACCTACCTATGTGAGAAGAAAAATTATTCTAGGATGTGGGTGCATTTGATATACTTTATAGATGTACTTAAATATACATTGAGTCACTATAGTTTGATCATATGACTCCTTTAAAACATTTAATATTCAATAGCATTGGTACTGCTAACCGGGAAATTATGAAAAAAAAGACTTGATTTGTGGCCATTAAACATATGTTGTAATATTTTAAAAATAAGTGGACTAAAGAAACCTGAAGTCAAAATTTTAATTTACTCATACTAAGTACCTGATATTGTTTTGTTTCTCCAGAAGCAGTAGTGAATGATACAAGTAGTGAAAACAAATCTGGAGCTGCTGACATAGCAGCAAGTCAGCATGTGATGGTGTGTGCCCTGCAGGAGCTTGGTAGCTTAGTTCAAAGCTTAAATGCCACTGCATCTCCTCTTATTCAGGAAGCATCTATAGGTATGTACTTGACTTAAATGCAAAAGTCTTTCTTAAGATTTGGGGACAACTTTTAATAACATAGTGCAACTGATATTTGACTAATTGTTTATTTAATTAGTCATCTTTTTCAGACTTAATAATACTTTTTTATTGGAGCTGTGAATTGATTCAATTCTTCCAGAAAGTAATTTAAAATGATGGTAAAAGTGATTAGATAGACATGAGGAAAGTTTAGTTATAAAGAGTATAGAACTTACAAGTGCTTCCAGACAGATTTTTTTCCCCTTAAATGTTTGATTTTATAGTAGTCTTTACTGCATTATTCTGCTTCTAGACAATTTTTATAAGTGACAGTTATTGACACGGTATGTAACCAGATGTAACAAAAATTTTCATAAGATAATTAAACTGGATATCTATATATGGAACTATAAATTCCCTGAGGACAAAGAGCTGTGTTGTCTTAATTTTGCTACAGAATCTAACAATGCCTTTTACATAGTAAGTGATTGAATATATAATTGCTGAATAAATAGCTCTACTTGCATTATGGAATTAAGAAAAATATATAAGCTTCATAAAGACCTTTGTGAAACTGTAGGTAGTGGAATATTGATTTTAGAGTCAAGAAGACTAAAAAATGCTAGTTATTCTTTTCCATGAAGCTTCCTGTGATCAACTGCTTCTTACCATTCCTCCCCTTCCTTCCACCCAGCTGAAAGTTCTCTCTCAGTCCTCAAATTTCAAATAGCACTTTGAGTAAAATGCTTTTTTTCTTATCACATACTATTATGGTTATATGCATACACATTTTTTCTCCAACAAATTATAAGCTCCTTGAGATTTAGATCTGTATCATATATACACATTGTAAGTCTGTATGTGTGTATGTATGTGTATGTATGTATGTATGTAGATGTATGTAGGTTTCTCAAGGACCCTGTATTGTGCCTAGGCACTTAAATTTTTTAAAATTTAATTCATTTGTCTCAGCAAATTAATGAGAAAACCAGGAACAATCAAGTCAGCAAGCATTTATTAAATACCTACTATATACTTAATGCTGTGGATACAAAGAAAGTAAAAACCACTTCTTTGCCCTCAAGGATCTTAAAATCTAATGGGAGAGAAAACATTTAAACAACTATGTACAAACAAGATATATCTATAAAATAAACACATTTTTGTTACATATGTGTATGCATGTGTATGTGTAGATGTGTGTATACATGTATATACATATATGTATACAAACACTTATATACAGGATAAATCAGACATTATCGGGAAGGCACTAGCATTTAGGGCAACAAACAAAGGCTTCTTGCAGAAGGATGTATTTTTAGATTAGGCTTTAAGGAAGCCAGGAAAACCAGGAGATATTCCAAGCATTGGAGACAGCCTGAGAAAATGCACAAAGTAGGGAGATCAGCCTGTGTATCATGGTACCTGGGCCTTTTGATTTCTAGGCTGTAGAACTATTCAGTCCACCTCTTTTGAATTTCTACATTGAATAAGTATGTTTAATGTAGATAACTTTGATAGGTCTGTCAAAACATCAGTGTGTATAGTTTCTGTTGTTGTCCATCCTTTCTTCATCCTGTGTTACTCTTGTCCATGTACTCTCCTAATTCTTTCAAAAGAATCCACTGAAAATATTCGTAGCCTCTTTCTTGATTTGTTAATATTGAATGCATACCAGTGGAGTACACCCTCTGTTCATGAGTTATTCTCTCATTTTTGTTACATTAGCAGCCCACCTCCTTTCTGAGTCATACATCTCCCTGATGACATCATTTATGTTGCTTCTCGTGTAAAATTTTGCATTGATAATATGTTACATCCTAATATGAACATCATGGGTCTCTCCATTGTCCTTTGTGTGATCTGTAGCTGTAATTCTTCAAAGTCTATTATATACCATGACACTAAGCCCTTCAGCATCACTATATATTTAAAAAAGTGGACCTTTGTTTGAGGGAAAACCTTGGGATCACTAAAAACACTATACAATTTTCTAAATGCAGTCTGGCCTACTTATTTCTTCCCATTCAGTTATAAATCAATTCATTATCTCAGTTATTTACCATGCTATTATTATAATTTTTTTTGTATAAGTTTTATTCTCTTCTTCCTTTCTTTCTTGTTAAATGGACCAAAGCCAAGGCTATAAGAACAGGGAAGCCTAGTATCTGATGACTTAAGTTTCTATTCTGTTAATTTCATTCAACGCTTATCTATCTAGATAAGATGTACTGATGGGTTGACTATCCAATGATATGAAAAAGAGATAATGAATGAAAAGAATCATATTCATATAGCTAGAGCTGGATAAGAGCTAAGGGACCATCAAATCCACCTCTTGGATTTCATAGAAAAAGAAGAAGCTGAGGCTAGAAGTGATGAAGGGAGTTTTTCCACATTTGCACAATTAGTAAATAGCAGAGGCAGGATGTAGACTCAGGTCAAAATTATATTTAAAGGATTGGGAGATGAATTAAAAATGTTATCAGTATTTTTGATTCTGGTATTCCCAATGTATGTGATACTTTTTTCAGGACAAATAATTGAAAAATGTTGACTACTTATGTTTAATTCTAAATCAAGCAACATTTTAATAGACATAACTATAACTAGTATTCTATGTTTCAGAAGTTTCTCTTGAAGTATATTATTGTTAATAAACAGCTGATAAAACATATTCTTTGACTAGGTTATAAAATTATCTGTGGAAAAACCAATTATTTTGATTTTTGTTATTGTGTTATATTCTTTTTGTTTGGTAGAATTGGTTTTTCTGCTTTTTAAAAGAGTACATCTTTGTGTTTTTTCTTCTTCAGGTCTTTTGGAAACAGTAACATCTGTACTTCTGCATCCTAGTATGGCTGCCCGACTTGCTGCAGCATGGTGTTTACGTTGTGTAGCTGTGGCATTGCCTTTCCAGTTGACTCCATTTCTAGACAGATGTGCAGAAAGGCTCAATAATTTGAAGACCTCACCTGAAGCTGTTAGTGGTTATAGTTTTGCAATGGCTGCTTTGTTAGGTGGAGTACATCAGTGCCCATTGGGTATCCCTCACGCCAAAGGAAAGGTAAAATGTAGATTATAGATAGTCATTAACCATAAATATTTGTTTAAGCATCTGCTATTCATGATACTAGATTACACTAAAATATTATAATAGTGATGACAGTTAACTACTAAAAATTAAAAATACCAGAAACTACACTTGTGTTTATAAGAAACTTCACTATTTTATGGTTCTTTTATTTCACTGTGGCTATTCAGTCTACCATTACTGACCATAACATATCCACAGCTTGATGTTTGTGAATACCTGTGATCAAAGAAGTCATCATTATCCTATAGCCAAGCTGGTGTTGAACCTTTCTAAACTTTGAACAAGTCTGATTCTTTTACAACAGATAGACGTCTTATCCCCAGGACCAAACTTGAAGCCTTGCCACCTTGTTAGGACTAACAAAGCTTATATTTTCCTTCTAAAGCCTTCAAGAGCCCACAGTCACCTCCATACCATAATAAGACATAGGAGCAGAACTTTAAAATCCCAGAATCTCAGAGTTAGAAGTGATTTCAGAGATTTTAGAAGATTCATAACAATATAGTCTGTTAGAAATCAGAAAAGAAATTTTACATTAAACTCTGCTTTAGATATTTTCAAAGTTTTTGTATGTTATCATTATATAAATTTATTTGGACTATAGGGCTTTCTTATAGTAATCATTAGACCTCTACTTCTGCTTTCAGGAATAAATCTTTTCATTTAGTTGTCAAATAAATGTCAAAATGTCAAAAAAGAAAAAAAAACAACCTGTGAACCAGCAATTTATAGGAACCATAATTCTGCATTTAGTATTTTGTTGAGTGTTTCATAATTATTAACAAGAAAACTTTTTATACATAGTTGATGAGGGTAAAGATAGATATTTTATTTTAATATTATGATTTTCTTCCAGCTAGCTCAATTTCTCTTTACAGCTTTCCTGTGGGATAAATGGAGGCTCAAATATTCTCCATTTTTAATAGAGATATCGGTCTTTATCCATCTCATAATTTCTGTTTCCCAGCCACCTCCTCCATGAAATCTTCCTGTATCACTTCAAACTTCATTGATCTCTCCTTCCTTTGAATGCATTTCTGCCACTAATTTGAGCCTTAAACGTATACTGATTCATATTCTTTCATTTTTGTTTGTTCTATCTCTCCTAAAAAATTTTACATTCTTTGAGGAATGAAGATTATCTCATCATTCTTTGTTTTCTCTGTAGTTTCTAATAAAGTACTAAGCACAAGTGGATACTCAGTACATAATTAAATTTAAGTGATTTGCCCAAGCTCTCACAGTGAAGAGTAGAACTTGGACTAGAATACATCAATATCGTCTGGCTTCTGACTTTGTGGTTGTGGTTGCTTATTTGAGAACATGTTAACAAAGATTACATTTGAATCAGCAAAAGCAAATCTGTTAAGTCAGCAAGCATTTTTCAAGCACTTATGTGCCAGGCACTATACTAAAGTGCTGGAAATACAAAAAAGGGCAAAAAAAGTTGATTCCTTAGTGGCTAGAGCACTGGGCCTGGAGTCAGGAAACTGGGCTTAGACACTTACTAGCTTTGTGACCCTGGGCAAGTCACTTAACTTCTGTCTGTCTCAGTTTCCTCAACTAGAAAATGGGGATAATGATAACATTTACCTTTCTGGGTTTTTTTTTTGAGGATTGAATGAGATAATGTTTATAAAATACTTAAGAGCATTTAGCATATATTATGTAACTTAATAAATACTTGTTTTTTCCTTTCTTCTTTAGATTTATTTAAAGTTGAAACTTAACATTTTCTTTGCAGATGGTAGTAAGCATTGCTGAAGATCTCTTACGAACTGCTGCTCAAAACAGTAGACTATCCTTGCAGCGCACTCAAGCTGGATGGCTTCTACTTGGAGCACTTATGACTTTAGGTATAATTAATTATATTTGAGTTGGATTTTGACTTACTTCTGCTCTTGTGTTAGTAAACGAGAAAAAAAATTTTCAGTTTATGTTAATTTTTGTATTTCAAATTCTAAGTTTTGAGTGACATTAACAAATAGAAATGTTATATTGGCATTACATTAAGCTGTATGTACATATTGTGTTTTCATCTTTAGTTGTCCTCCAAGGCAATATAAAGGATTCAGAAGGTACACAACACATATTTTCTTTGAATGTTGTTAAATATGACTTTTAAAGATATTATTGCCAACAAAAAGAGACAAAATTAGGAACTTGGGCTCAGATAGTTCTCAGGATTATTCTCACTTAATGGTTTGAGGAAGATCTTAAGGAGCAGAAATATTAAGTTTGTGACCCAGAATATCCTTTTCAATGTAACTTTTTAAAAAATCAAATTAACAATAATATGATTAGTTTTGCCTTTCATTTAGAAGATAGTCTCTTTTATCCAAAGGTAGTAACTTTTCTAAAAGACTAGTTTGCTAGATTAATAATTTATTTTAGGGGCAGCTAGTTGGCATAGTGGATAAAGCACCAGCCCTGGACTATGGAGGACTTGAGTTCAAATCCAGCCTTAGACCAAACACTTGACACTTCCTACCTGTGTGACGCTGGGCAAGTCATTTAATCCCAACTGCCTAAAAATAAAATTTAAAAAAAAATTATTTTACTAGACCTCTAAATTTAGGTCCCATGTAAAACTAAAGTCGTTATAGAAATGAAAGAATATATATTTTTTGAAAATAACAATAAAAACGTTGTCACAAGTGTTTATGTAACTAAATGTGCCATTATAAAGTATTATTAAACATTATTTATATCTAACCTGACTATCATCTTTACATTTATACTCATTGTTATATTTGGGTGCAGAGACTTGTAGTCTATTATAACTAAATTTTAGTTTATTTTTCAAAAAACCGTAAAACTTTATTACTTTCCTCCCCAATATATTAAAAAGCACATTTTACTTAACATATGTAGCTCCTTCTTACAGTGGTTGGTTTTTTCTTGTAAAGCTGGAATAAACAGTTTTGCATGTAGAATTAAAAGTCCTCAGTAAGTTATAGGAATGAAGGCTGACATGAATATTTCTTATCCAAAGTAACTACTTTAGAAAATCATAATTGTTATAATGAAAAATGAATGTAATACTATTTTAAATAAGCCAAAAGTGTTATGTCATTTGAAACATGATTTTAATGTCTCATTACCCTTTTTTAACTAAGAAATTTATTGTTAATAATAATATTTGGGTACATTGAAGGTGAATGGATGATGAAAAGTATTTTGTTAAAATTCCTTAGGGCTGCTTCCTAGGAGAGAACTCTATGGACACTTAGGAATTTGTAATGTATGCCTAGATTTCCTTTCCTTGACCTTTTTATTTATGGTATAAGTAGCCATCAATTTTGTATTTTATATGATTAAACATATAGATTATTTTTCTCATTTTCTTGATTAGGTCCTTCTGTTGTTCGTTATCATCTTCCCAAAATGTTGCTATTATGGCGAAATGTCTTCCCTCGTTCCTTAAAGGAGCTAGAAGCTGAAAAGGCACGAGGAGATTCTTTTACTTGGCAGGTAACATTGGAAGGCCGGGCTGGAGCATTGTGTGGTAAGTACTGAAATCAATTTGGCTTTCAAAAGTTATCATATTAGTAGAAATTCATTGAGTGAATGAAAAGAATAGTTCTGAAAGTATCTTGTGGGGGGGCGGAGTCAAGATGGTGGAGTAAAGGCAGGAACTCACCTGAGCTCTCCCTCAAACCCCTCCAAATACGTTTAAAAAATGACTCTGAAAAAATTCTAGAGCAACAGAATCCACAGAAAGACAGAGTGAAACAAATTTCCAGCCCAAGACAATTTGTAAGGTTGACAGGAAAGGTGTGTTACACCAGGCTGAGAGAGGAGCATAGTCCAGCACAGGCCACGCTAGCATAGACCAGGCCCCAGCTAACTCAGAGCAGGCCTCAGGGGACTGAATCTCTGGCAGCAGTGGCAGTTTCCAGACTTCTCAGCCCACAAATGCCAATGACAACTTAGAAGGTTAGTAGGAAAGGTCTATTGGACCTGGGTGAGAGAGGAGTGCAGTCCAGCCCCGGCCCCAGCACAGCCCTGGGGCAGCTGTGGTGGCAGTGGCAGCAGCATTGGCTGCTTCTGGAGCTCTCAGCCCACAGACGGTAAGGGGCTTAAACAATTGGTCGGAAGGAGATTATAGTGGTCTCTTTGCTAGCACTGAGGCAGAACTCTGTTGCTCTGCCCATACTTGAATCTGGGTCCCAGTCCTGGGTGGCAGTCCTGGGGCAAGGAGGAGCACTAGAATAGCAGAGCTTGTGGCAGTAGTGGAGAGGGGACCCTCCTCACAGTTCCAGGGCAGAAAAGAGTACTTGTGGTCACTCACAGGCCAGGAGAAGAATAAACAACTCTCCTTAGATCATACCACCTTGGAAGAACTGAAAACTTATAGCTCCCTAGAAGTATTTCTGAAAACAGCTGCACAAAATCCTTGAAGCTTGGAATAGTTTGCCCTCCACACTGGAAGCAGAGCCCTACCTCAACAAAGAGATAAATTAGTTGGGGAAATGAGCAAATAATGGAAAAAAAATATATGTACACACACACACACACACACACACACACACACACATATAACTCTCTATATAAAAACCCTCTATAACTCTATAGAAGACTATAGAATCTTACTTTGGTGACAAAGAAGATCAAAACATACAACCAGAAGAAGACAACAAAGTCAAAGCTGTTACATCCAAAGCCTCCAAGAAAAATATGAATTGGTCTCAGGCCATGGAAGAGCTCAAAAAAGATTTTGAAAAGCAAGTAAGAGAAGTAGAGGAAAAATTGGGAAGAGAAATGAGAGTGATGCAAGAAAATCATGAAAAATGAGTCAACAGCTTGCTAAAGGAGACCCAAGAAAAAATACTGAAGAAATAACACCTTAAAAAATAGACTAACCCAAATGGCAAAAGAGACCCAAAAAGCCAATGAGGAGAAGAATGTCTTAAAAAGCAGAATTGCCCAAATGGAAAAGGAGGTCCAAAAGGTCACTGAGGAAAATAATTCCTTAAAAATTAGAATGGAGCAAATGGAACCTGTTGACTCTATGAGAAATCAAGAAATTATAAAACAAAACCAAAAGAATGAAAAAATAAAAGACAATGTAGAATATCTCATTGGAAAAACAACTGACCTGGAAAATAAATCCAGGAGAGATAACTTAAAAATTATTGAACTAAAGACAGTGAGGTGGCACAGTGGATAGAGCACCAGCCCTGAAGTCAGGAGGACCTGAGTTCAAATCCAGCCTCAGACCAAACACTTGATACTTACTAGCTGTGTGACCCTGGGCAAGTCACTTAACCCCAGTTGCCTTAAAAAAAAAATAAAAATTATTGGACTACTTGAAAGCCCTAATCAAAAAAGAGCTTAGAAATCATCTTTGAAGAAATTATCAAGGAAAACTAACCTTATATTCTAGAACCAGAGGGTAAAATAGAAATTGAAAGACTCTACTGATCACTTCCTGAAAGAGATCCCAAAAGAAAAACTCCCAGGAATATTATAGCCAAATTCCAGAATTCCCAGGTCAAGGAGAAAATATTGCAAGTAGCCAGAAAGAAGTAATTCAAGTATTGTGGCACCACAATCAGGATAGCATAGGATTTAGCAGCTTTTACATTAAGGGATCAGAGGGCTTGTAATATGTTATTCCAGAGGTCAAAGGAACTAGGACTAAAACTAAGAATCACCAACCCAGCAAAACTGAGTTTAATCCATGAGGGGAAAAAATTGACATTCAATGAGATAGAGGAATTTAATGCATTCTTGAGAAAAGACCAGAGCTAAATAGAATTTTGACTTTTAAATACAAGACTCAAGAGAAGCATGAAAAGGTAAACAGGAAAGAGAAATCATAAGGGACATAGTAAAGTTAAACTGTTTACATTCCTATGTGGAAAGATGATATTTGTAATTCATAAGACCTTTTTCATTATTAGGATATCTAGAAGGAGTATATATAGACAGAGGGCACTGGTGTGAGTTGAATGTGAAGGGATGATATCTAAAAAATAAAATTAAGGAGTGAGAGAGAGGAATGTACTTGGAGAAGGAGAAAAGGAGAGGTAGAATGGGGTAGATTATCGCACATAAAAGAGGCAAGAAAAAGCTTCTACAGTGGAGGTGAAGAGGGAGGAGGTGAGAGGGAATGAGTGAACCTTACTCTCATCAGAATTGGCTTAAAGAGGTAATGACATATACACTCAATTGGGTATAGAAATCTATCTTACCCTACAGGAAAGTAGGGGGAAAGGGGATGTGGTGGGTGATAGAAGGGAGGGCAGGTTGGGCAAGGAGGTGATTAGAAGCAAACACTTTTGATGAGGGAAAGGGAGAAAGGAAAGAATAGAATACATGTGAGATGGGATAGGATGGAGGGAACTATTGTTAGTCTTTCACAACATAACTAATATAGAAGTGTTTTGCATGACTACACATGTATAAACTGTCAAATTGCTTGCCTTCTCAATGAGATGGGTGGGGAGGGAGTAAGGGAATTTGGAACTCAAAGTTTTAAAAACTAATGTTAAAAATTGGGGGTTTTTTTACATGTAACTGGAGAAAAAAATAAAATACCAAATTTTAAAAAAAGTATCTTTTGATATATGATGGTACATTCACCAAACTCATTGTGGTAACATGAGCATTAGATTAGAATTTTTGTTCTTACTACCACTTACTTTTATCTCTGTGTATGTGTGGGAAGAAACGCAAGTATAATGGTCTTTGCTTACTAGACACCCAGGAGTTTTCTCTGATCTCTGTGTTAAAAGTCAGGAAAGTGAATTATTAGTTTCCCACATCTCAGTAGGGAGAAGCTCAGAGATTATACTACGATGGTGACCAGGGTTGTCGGGAGGGGGAAACTAGCAGAGAAATTGAGAAAATGGCCAAGCAAAGGAAAATTCCTGTGGTAAGAACATTCTAGGATAAAACTTTTAAAAAGAAGTATACTGTAGTACTGTAATAACTGTGAGTACAACCCCAGAAAGGAGTATGAAATGGCTGCAAGGACACCAGAAACAGTAGGGAATCTAGTAGAAGAACAGAAGAGATAAGGACTAGAATAGTCAGCTTAGAACAGAAACTGGAAAACCTTAGCAAAACAGTGAATATCTTGAAGAAAGAATGAAGGGATGGATCTCAGAAATTCAACGAAACGTTAAGAAATATTGGAGCACAGTTATAAGATGGTAAAATTGGAAGAACACACACACATGTATCATCAAAAACTACTAACATGGAAGAAAAGGGCATGGGGGCAGTGTTGTATAATGACCTGACCTCAGAGTCATACTTCAAGTCCTACCTCTGACACACACTGGCTATATGACTCCAGATAAATCCCTTAACCTCTCCGTGACCCAGGCAGCATTTTAACACTGTAAGTTGCAGATCAACTGTAGCTCTATAGTAGGTGAGGGAATTTCCTCACTAGTAGATCACTACATGAATGAAATCATAGGTTTGGACAAAAAGGAAAATAGGAGAGACTCCTCTAAAGAATTGTTGAGCTCCCAGAAAAGTATGACAAAACAAAAAGCTTAAATAACATATTTAAAATAATCATAAAAGAAACTATGAAGTATTCAAAACAAAAGGCAAGATATGGGTTGATAAAATCCGCAAGTCATTACCTGAGTGAAACCTTAGCCAAAATACACTCAGAAATATAATTACTAAGATCCAAAATACCCACGTCAAAGGGAAAAATATTACAAATGGCCAAGAAGACACGGGTTAAATCTGAAGAAATCTCAATCAAATTTATGCAGATTCATCCATATTGACTATAATGAGGGAGAAAAAATATTAGCAATCTGTTAAAAGGAAAGAGTTTACAAATAGGATAACAATTACATGGCTAAATTTAACCCTAAAGGAGAAAATAATATATTTTTAACACAATTACTGACTTCCAAATATTTCTTTTGAGAAAACCAGAGGTGGGCAGAAACTGAAAGGCAAATACCATGAACAAAAGAAACTTAAGTAAGGTAAAGAAGTTTGAAGGACTCATAAGGGGCAAATCCTTACAGCCCAAAAGGGAGAGAAAAGGTTATTGTCCCTTTCTTCTTTCTCTAAGCATCATGGGGTGAGTGATGGGAGTGGTCCAGGAAAAGCAAACATATAAGGGCTTAGATGAAATAGAGAGGACAGACAGATACATAGACACACAGGGGTGGAGGAGAAAAAAGACTGAGAGAAGTGGTGGAACAATATTTTTTGGGAGAAACAAATTATTCAAATATAGAGGTGAAGAAAGTGATAATCTCCTGAATCTTATTCTTATTTAGGCTAGGCAAAGGAAGATTTAAAAAAAATTAATCAAACAGAAATAAAGACTATGAAGTTAGAAATATAGTGAAGTTAGTGAAAGTCTAGTCTAGGATAGAGAGAAGCAAGAATGAAGTTTTAGAGAGAAGGTAAAATCAGGAAGGAGAAAATATCAAGCAAGACAAGCAAGTTTTACGTAGTGCTGATTTATTAAAAGAAAAAAAGTTAAGATGAAGAGATTTGGTGGGCGAGGATTAGAGGGAGAGTAATGAGAAATTTAAATTACAAACACTTGGTATGGGTTTCATTCCTCCCTCCTTTTAAAGAAATGAAGAGGCAGAGTAGAAATAAGTTAACAGGAGTTGATAAAGTGAAAAAGAAAATGATAACAGTGAACATGAATAGGATAAACTTATCTATAAGTGAAGGAGATGGCAAAAAGGATGAGAAAGTAAAATCTACCAGTTTTTTGTTTAGAAAATACACACTTCAAGAGTTAGAATGAAGATTTGGAATAGAAGTTATTGTACCTCAGCAGAATCCAAAAAAACCAGGAGTGGCACTCGTGTTCTTAGACCAAACAACAATAAAACTAGAAACGATTAAATAAAAACAGCTTATGCTTATATATCAAGAGACCTCTTCCCATGTCAACAAAGTGTAGATATGTATCTTTTTAAAAAATTTTCTTTTTAGGTCTCAACAATATTAGAACAAAAAAAACTCCACAAAGTTTATTTTTTCTCATGTGACATTTACTACAACTAATAGTTTATTCTTTGAGAATTTGTACTTTATTCTGTCAAGATTTTTTAATAAAAAGGCCCTACATATGTCCATAGTTTACTCATTTGTCAGTTTAATTTAATTACTTCCCAGGTTATATTGTGCTTTTTTTTTTTAATTTAATTTAGCAATGCGGAGTTTTGTTGCTCATTGTCCTGAACTCCTAACTGAGGATGTGATTAGAAAACTGATGACACCTATTGAATGTGCCATGACGATGATGTCACAGTAAGTAAACAGTTTGATGAACAATATACATTATTCAACCTCTCGTTTTGGTTTGGCACATTGACCTCATAAAATATATTCAATAATGAAAAAACCTACAAAACCTTATTTATTGGCTTACACTGACCTTATAATGTGAAGAAGAGAACAGATATAAATTTAAATGTTCTTAATTTCTTTGGATAACAATTAATGTGAATGTCTTGAGAACAGAGGCAGTCTTTTATTTTTCTCTCCCCAGGTATAGTAGCTGCTTAATAAATATTTGCTGGAATGAAAATGAAATTAAAGATACTACTGTCCTCATTAGTGCCATCCTATGTCTTTTCTTCCCTTCTCAGATAAACTCCTTGAAAAAGCCTAAAGTACTTCCACTTCTTTTTTTATCTCTCTCTTTTAAATCTTTTACATTATGGCTTCTGAAATTGCTCTCTCTACAAAGTCAAGCATCATCTCTTAATTGACAAATCCTTTACTCAACAGTCATTCTTCTTGACCTCCTACAGCAGTATTTGATACTATTGACCATCTCCACCTGAATATTTTTGCTTTTTTTATAGTACCTTCTCTTTGTTCTCCTCCTTCTTGACTGCTCCTTCTCAGAATCCTTTGTTAGATCTTAATCTGCTTCATGCCCACTAACTGTGGTTATACCCTAAGACCCTGTCTTGATCCCCCTTCTCTTTTCTTTCTAACTTGATGATCTTCAACAGCATCCATGGCTTCAATTATAGTGTCTATGTCGTGATTCGCAGACCTCATATTTAGCCCCTTTCTCTTTCCTGAGCTCTAGTGCAATATCATGAGCTTCCTTCTAGGCATTTTGACCTGGACGTTCTGTAGGTATCTCAAATTAAATACAGCCGAAACAATTCATTATCCTTTCCCCTAAGCTTATCCTTCTGGACTTTTCTATTACTGTTCATGGCACTACTATCCTTTCAGTCATCTAGGTTTCTAGCATTAGTGTCATCTTTACTTTCTTACTCTAAATCACCCCAAATGTCTAATCTTTTGACAGATATTGACACTTTTATCTCTCAATTAATGTGGGTATCCATAGCTATCATCCTAATCTAGACCTTCATCACCTCTTACTTGTATTGGTTTTCTTGTTGTTCAGTCATTTTAGTTGTTATCTAACTCTCTGTGACCCCATTTGGGGTTTTTTTGGCAAAGATCCTGGACTGGTTTGCCATTTCCTTCTCCAGCTCATTTTACAGATGAAGAAACTGAGGAAAATAGGGTTAAGTGACTTGCCCAGGATCACACAGCTAGTACATATCTGAAGCCAGACTTGAACTCAAGAAGATGAGTCTTCCTAATTCTCGGTCCGGCACTCTATCCACTGTGTCACCTAGCTGAGTGTATGGGATGTTCAAGGAAGACTAGCACCTCTGGTATGAGGGCTTGCCGAGCTCTTTTCATGGATTCTTATCTACCTTTGGTGTCTGCCTGGCACTTAACTCATACCTGTGGCTCCAAGAAGCTGTAACATGAATAGCAGTCACACCCCAGTAAACTGTCTTAGCAGATGAACTAAACCAGGTTGTGGGTAACAGGCCACAAATCCTTTAATGAGCGTCTGTCCCAAGAATGTGAAGACTTCCTCTGGCAGAATGGGTGGATGAGAATAATTTGTTCCAATGGCCATGAAGGCAGCTGAAGCAGGTGCTGTGGAGCATTTAGAGCTTGGTCAGACATCAAAGGCACCAAGGTCATCCACTATATCCTAGGCCATTGCCAGTCATCTTGACTTTTGTCCTGCCACTGGACTTAAATGACTAGAAGAGAGAGTGAGACTGACAACTTCGTGCAATTCTGCTTCATTTAAATCTCATTCATGCATGTGTCAAGACATCACCCCATGATGTCATTGGTCCTCTTTGAAAACAATAAACAAACAACAACACGTACTATTCTATTATCCTCGTAATTGGTCTCCTTGCTTCAAGTCTTTCTCCACTCTTTTATCCTTCACACAACTGCCTCCAAATTTTCCCAAGATGAAAGTCTAATGAAGTTACAATTACCCTTACCCCACCTCAGTAAAATATAGTGTCTCCCTATTAACTCTAGGATAAAATGCAAACTGCTCTATTTGCTCTTTGAGTTTCTTCATGACTTGGTCCCTTCTTTTTAGTATCCTTACACATTACTCCCTTTGGTCCAATCAAACTGACTTGATATTCTTCATTAATAATAATGATAATAATAGCAAGCATTTATAAAGCACTTTAAGATTTGCAAAGTGCTTTAAAAATAGTAATTCATTTTATATTTGTAACTCTCAGTATCTTTTCATTGGCCCTTGTGCCTAGACTGTTTTGCCTTTCTTCAAGACTTAGCTCAAACATCACTTTCTGTAGAAATCGTTTTTTCCCTGGTTTTCCCAAGCTGCTCATGCCTTCCCCTCTAAAGTTGTCTTGTATCTACTTTGTACATATCTTATATATGTCTTTGTCTAACTGTCTGCCTATAAGTTGTCATCTCAGTAGGATTTAAGCTCCCTTAGGGACAGGGACTTTTTGTACTTTTTATTTTTATATTCAGCATTTAGCACAGCGATTCGCCTCTAGAAGATTCTTTAAAAATATTTGTTTTATTGATTGATTGATTGATATGAGCAATGCAGAAAAAAGAAAAAAATAAGAATGTATAGATATCCATTGAATTTTAGCAATTTGTGCATTTCAGGTATCTGTTCATAAAATATTTTTGCTGAATTAAACCATTGTAATTCCCCCATTTGTCATTTTAGCATTCCATCTGTAATTAAGGCCCATGGAGCTCATCTGAAGGCTAGTGCTGCAATGGTCCGCTTAAGACTTTATGATATTTTGGCATTGTTACCCCCCAAAACTTATGAAGGTAATTAGAATTTAAAATATCGTGAAAATCTAATAAGAATTCTCACTTTTCTGTAAGTAATTTTGTACTTCAAACATTCATAATGTAGTTATAAACTGCTGGTATGTTTTCAGTAGAATGACAAGAATTTTTACATGTTCTTGTTCAGTGCCTTGTAAATTAAATATATCACTTGAAATATGGTTAGAATTTTTGTACTTTGTTTTTTTTGGTTGTTTAAAACAATTCTGATCAAAATATATATCAAAATCATCAACTAGAGAGAAGTGCCATTGTTGTAGATATTTAAAAAGTGACAGTTTCTCATTCCAGTAAGAGTTATTTTCAAAATTGAATAATAGTTGCTTTTAGTGATGTAAAGGGAAGAAGAATTTGCTTATTTCATGCCATTTGTCCAAAGTAGTACTCTAGAATCACTGTATTGCTAGAATACTTGTAAGTTTATTTTTATATAGTGTTAAAGCTATTTTTTGCTTTCTAATTTGTATTTCTGTTTTTTAGGATCTTTTAATGCACTTCTTAGGGAGCTGGTGGCAGAATTTACTTTGACAGATAACTCTGCCAATACTACTACCTCCCTTCTCAGATCTCTCTGTCATTATGATGACAGTGTTCTTCTTGGTTCCTGGCTTCAAGAAACTGATCATAAATCAATTGAAGATCAGGTAGTAAATCATAAAAGAAAAAAGTCATCCTTTTAAAAAAGAGATAAGTCATTCAACAGTGGTCTCATATGATTTTGCATTGTTACTTAAAAAGAAAACAGATTTCAGATTAACCAAGACTTAGGCGGTCTTGACACCTAAAGATAACATCCTAGTAATCAGTGGTTGAGCTGTTATAGTATAGATAAGCATCTCTTGCCCTAGAATTTAAAGAGGTTGTTCCAATTATTCAGTTTGCTTTAAATTTAAGCCTTGGCAGCTGCAGGAAAATCATTCCCAGCTATGTGCCAGGGGTAAGGATGGGAAGAGGATGCAGGAAAGAGGGTTTTGGGGGGCCTTGTTTTTGAGAGACATATCAAAGATTAAGATTTGGGTAAATGGGTAAATTTTAAATTTTTGTAACTTGTAATTTATCCTATCAGTAATAGTTTAAAAGTTGCTAAAAATTTCCTTCAAATTGCTTCAGTGTTTTGATGATGTATTAGGTTAGGATTTTTAAAAGCAATTTTAGAATCATGACACAAAAATGAGTCATAATCTTTTTAAAAGTCTGACTCATTTTTTTATATCTTTTACTAACTCTCCATTTTTCCTTTAAGATTTTAGAAAGTATGTTTCAAAAAAAATAAGCCTTGCAAAGTTTTTATATGGTTATTTTGTAGCTCCAACCAAATAGTGCATCTGGGAGTGGTGCTTTAGAGCATGACCCATCCTCCATTTATTTACGAATACCTGCTGGTGAAGCTGTTCCTGGTCCTCTTCCTCTTGGCGTCTCAGTCATTGATGCTTCTGTTGCTCTCTTTGGTGTAGTGTTTCCTCACGTTTCTTATAAACACCGGTTAGTATAAATGACATTAAGATCAATTTTTGTAATTATTCCAAATAGTTACTAGTCTTAAATTCAGATTATTCTAAAGATTTGATTTTAGCAAACTAAACATAAATTTCATATTATTTTAAACCATGTTAAAAGCTTGTTCTTATGAAAAAAAGACTCGATTACAGTAGTTCTGTAGAAAATCTATTAGACTGAAAAGAAAAAAATTTGAATAAAAAAAGAAATTTATCAGGAGGTTTTTGGCTACAACTTTGAGAGTAGTCTATTAATTCAAGTGATTACTCTGAAAGAGTTTGCTGAATTATGTTCTACATTAAAAAGTTTAATAAATAAATAAGTACCCTTAGGGTAAGTTTAATTGATATTAAGGTCAGTGCAATTTTTTGATATTAAAATTTTTCTTTTTCCATTGTGTTTTCTGTTATATACTTTCTTTTTTTTTTTTAGTTTTTAGGCAATTGGGGTTAAGTGACTTGCCCAGGGTCACACAGCTAGTAAGTGGCAAGTGTTTGGTCTGAGGCTGGATTTGAACTCAGGTCCTCCTGACTTCAGGGCCAGTGCTCTATCCACTGTGCCAACTAGCTTCCCCCTGTTATATACTTTCACATAAAGTTTGTAGCATTTGTAGTTTTAAGTCAATATCATAAATGGTAGTAGCTCATATTTTGGCACTGTTTTAATCAGATTAGATTACTAGAATTTTTAAACTCCTATGTGATTAATCTTTGTTAATCACCTGAATTCTTTTCTTGCTTATGGCTATGACTTATTTGGTTAGGATGTGATGATAATGAGGGGAAAGTAAAACTATGGGTTCCATCCTTGTATAGGACAGTTAGCTTTGCTTATTTATAACACTACATGATGAACTTAATCAATTATTTTGTGTATTTGTATCAGTGGTCACAATGAGAATGGAATGTATATGGATCAATGCAGATAAATCTGGCACCACTATTCAAAATTAAAGCTCTACCAGAAATGGATTAGTAGCATCTTCTTTGGTTGTAAGATATAGTACACAATTATTGATTAGCTATTTGATTTTCATAGCTATTAATATAAGGAAGAACACAGTCAAAATATGAACCTTTTATTTTACTTCGCCAGAAAGTCATAAAATATTTTGATAACTATATTTCAATATAATTGGCTTTCTTTTTAATCCTATATATTTTATTTTATGCATTTAAAGTCCTTCTGAAATGGGGTCCATGAACTTCAACAAACTGCCAACATGATCCATGCACAAAAAAGGTTAGGAATCTTTGATCTAGCATGATCAGAAAGAGACAAAAAATATCCCATGTTTGGTGGTCAAAGCCTTTTACTTAGAAGAACATCAGTCCTTTTTAGAAAAATTTTATTTTATAATAAAGGAAATTTCAGGCCAAAAGAGATTATATAACATGTTCAGAATCATACAGCTAATTACTGACAAAAAGTTGGGATAAGCCTCCTAAATCTATTAAAAAATCATAATGCACATAAAAAACTTTTTTTAATGAGAAAATGACAAGTCCTGAGACTTTATGATAATCCCATATAGAAGTGGAAAATTGGGGTTGAATAATGCCCTACATGTTACCTATAGAAACCAACTTGTATATGTTTAGGTTTGAATAAACTGTAGAACTTTACTTCTCAAAGTGGCCCTGGGTGAAGACCTCTCTGGAGACTAGCTTGGCACTTTTATTACCAATAAAAAGACTTATTTGATCTGGGACCTAAGGCTTACCCAGAATCTCTGAGGTTGTTCCTGAACCATCTTGATCTCTAGGGGTTATTGACTAAAGGTAGGGATCCCATAGATCATAATCCCATAGATCCCATAAAATATAGCACTGTGCCTGATTTTCCAGGGTTGTTATTGCCTAGAGTTAGTATTTGAATTGGTAGGTGATGAAATATTGGATGTCAACTGTCTTGCTTTTAGTAGTACTTGAAACTATCTCATTGCTCTTTAAACAAAATAACCTAAAAGAATTTTTCTTGTTCTTAAACTGTTATCCTTATTTCTTCAACTTGAGGGATACACAAACCTTCTCCCTCCTTGTAGTCCTTATCTTCCTTCCCCAGGGTTCAGTCAGCAACCAAAGTCGCACTTCTTGGCTTGAGCCAAAAGTAAATCAAACTCTCAGGAAAGGAAGTGAGGATACACTCTATAGCAACAATGTATTTTTTTTGTATCTGAGGTGAAACATCTTCAGAACATATTATGTGTATTTTTAAGGTTATTGTTCTTTCATAGAACTCATTAACAATTAAAGTTTAGTATTTTGACTGCTGCATTGCTTAAATTAGTAGGAACGTGGATATTAGGCAAGACTAGTTCAGAACCACATCTGTGACAATAAGAAAAATGAAAAAAGGCAACCTGGGATGTGATTTGCTTTTTATTACATTAGCATTGTTTTTGGATAAAATGAATTTTTAAAGTTCTTCATTCTGACATTACAGATTACAGATGCTAGATCATTTTGCTGAATGTGTCAAACAGGCTAAAGGTGTTCGTCAGCAGGCCGTACAACTTAATATTTTCACTGCTGTTCTCAGTGCATTAAAGGTAATATTGCCACCAAGCATAAGTACTATTTTGTAATTATTAGTCTGAGTGATAAGGTCATACTTTTAAATGATTTAATCATGACATGTAATAAATTGTACACCTGATTAAACTATATTAAAGCAGATTGGTAGCACTTGAATGTTCTTTATTTTATACTGTATGATGTATATTGTAATTTACTCATAAGAAAATATAATATCAAAGAGCAGTTTCTGCAACATAATAAACAAATAAAAGAAAGTGGGATGTAGTTTGCCTAATTAGCTTACAGGATCATAAATTTTAAGTTGAAGACCTTAGAGATCACTGAGTTCAACATTTTAATTTTACAGATGAGAAAAGTGAGACTCAGAGAGCCTTGACTTGTTTAGGATCATACCAGCAGTTAGGTAGTGTAGTGGATAGAACACTGGGCTTGGAGTCAGGAAAGCTCTTCTTCCTGAGTTGAAATCTGGTCTTAAGACTTGCTCTGTGACCCTGGGCAAGTCACTTAACCCTGTTTGCCTCAGTTTCTTCATCTGTAAAATGAGCTGGAGAAGAAAATGGCAAACCACTCCAGTATCTTTGCCAAGAAAACTCCAAATAGGTTTATGAAGAGTTGTATATTACTGAAAAATGACTGAACTAAGACACATTTTGAACCCAGGTCTTCCTAACTCCAAGTCAAGCATTCTATCCACTCTGCTCCCCTACTATTACTGCTAAATTGTTAGTTTGTCCCATTTTGGGGGTACCTAAACAATTATTTTGTCCATTTTTGTTACAACAACTTAAATACTTAGAACAAGTTATTCTTGTTGTCCCTATTTGTGATTTTATATTTGCTCTTGTTTTAGCTTGGCAAGTTTACAAATTGTGTTTTTTACTTTTAAAGAAGACTGCTTAATTTTGATGAGGTTTGATATAATACTAAATGGTAACATCTTAAATTTGATTTGTGGCTTCATCTGCCACCTTTAAACAAAATGGCAACTAGTTTAAGTATTGAAATGGACCTGTCTGCAATTCTTTTGCAGAAGTCCACCAAATTTTATATGTGTTAAAGAAATAATAAGCAAGTTCTACAGTTTACACAACTACTGGAATGTATGTCATGATCCAAAACTAAACACTTGTTAGAGGTTCAGATAAGAGTGAAAAATTTTAGAAGATAAATTAACTGCAATACTGTTGTAACCTGTAGTGATTATTAACAATTAGTGTTGTTACTTAGACACGGAATAATGAGAATCCAGAGTCTTAGTTCCTGAGAAACAAAGATAACTAATTGCAAGAGAGAAAGATAAGTTAAATTGTTTACAACAATTTTACACTAAGGTGATGGTTCATCTCCTGTTCTTTATTTAAATATGCACTATATATGCTTAAATGACATTGTTATCCTTTATTCTTGGCAATTTTCCCATATTTTAATAGAAAATTTTTTGTTTAAATTGTTTTCTTTATAAATTAATAACAGGAATGGAATCATTTAGTTAACTATTAGTTGACATTTAGTTACCTATTAGTTAACACTTAGTTAACTAGTTAACTGTGCTTTGCCTTGTTTGCCAAAGTTGCTTTTATGCACAGATTAGTCAGTCAGTAAGCATTTATTAAGTACTTCTTATGTGCCAGGGACCATGATAAGTGCTAGAAATACAAAGGAAGGCAAAAGACAGTTCCTACCCTTGGGGAGCTCATAATCTGGTGAGAAGACCAAAAGCAAGCAACTATGCATAAACAAGCTCTATACAGGATCAGTAGAAAATAATCAACAAAGGAAATGAACTGAAATTAAGAGAGATTGGGATCTTCTAGGCAATAATCCTAAATTTCAGGCTCCTCCAGGTTTGGTTGTTTGAGAATTCACGTATTCTAAGTATGTTTCAAAATAATGCTTAAGAGGATATTTTTAAATAATATGGTTGAAGAAGATCCACCTAATGAAGTAATCTGTGTACATGTGAATATTTCAACGTGTTTTTTTTTCTATTTCAAATTTATTTTGGATTTTTTTTTTAAATTCACATAGGGCTTAGCTGAAAACAAAAGCACTTTAGGACCTGAGGAAGTTCGTAAATCTGCTCTGACATTGGTTATGGGTGCTCTTGATAATCCAAATCCCATTTTAAGGTGTGCAGCTGGAGAAGCCCTTGGAAGAATGGCTCAAGTGGTTGGAGAAGCAACTTTCATTGCTAGAATGGCTCAATATAGCTTTGACAAGTAAGTTTTTTTTTTTTAACCAAGCAGTAAGTTTCTCACATAGACAAAGATAATCTGAAGACTCAAAACTCAAGAAATTGGCCATAGTTTCTCTCTAACCTGAAGGCAAGTAGTAATATTTTTGTCTTTCCACAATTAATTGATTAAACTTCAGAGATAGAGAAATATTGTACTTTGGGTGGGCAGGAAAATTCCCTGATCCAGTTTAATAGAGTATGCTCGATAAAATAGAGTGAAGGAGTCTGTCTATAAGGTGAAATTAGTTAATATTTAAACATTTGCAATAATTACAGGCAATAGAGGGATGGATAATTTAAAATAGTAAATACATAAAAAATAATTGATATTTGACTTATAAACAGTTGTGGGTATATATAATCTAGGAATTAACTTAAAAATTATAAGGCTGAAAAAAAAATTATAAGGCTACATTGTGAGGACCTTATTTATGAGGAATTAGGATACTCTCTGGTTTACTCATCTTACCTGTGGACACTGCCCAAAGTTATCTTCTTCACTCTCCTTGAACACTATCTGAGGAGCATATCTGAGTTAGTTAAGCAAGAATAGTTAAGTGGATTAGATGTTGTTAGTAGGGATTTCCCAGATGCCAATCAAGCCAGTATGTAGAGGATTTAATAAGAATACACAAGAATAAGCAATAGTTGAATTATTTGAATTAGGAGTATTAGCTGCAATGTAGTTCTTAGTTACTGTAAAACCTTAGTGTTTTAGAGAAGAGGAAGGAGAGAGTGTGTTATAGCGAAAAGAGCACTGTACTTGGAAACTTCGGTTTTCCCATCTCTGAAATGGGGGTCATACCTTTAATAATGACTTCACGGAATTATTGTGAGAACAAAATGAGATATTATGTAAAATGCTTTGCAAATTTTACTTTTAAGTACTCCATTAAAAATATCAGCTATTATTGGCTACAGCAAAGTGTCATGAGAGTCAGTGTGGCATATTGAGGAAACTACTGCACTCAGGAGTAGTTGAGACCATATTGGTGTGACTCTAGACAATCCACTTAACCTGAGTCTGTTTCCTTATTTATAAAATGCCTGTAATAATAATTGTACTACCTGCTTCCCAAGGTTGTTGTGTAAAAAGCTCTTTGTAAACATTAAAGCACTATATAAATATGTTATTATTAGGGAGTTAATAAGATCTGGTTCTGGTGATAACTTCTAATAACTATTTTCCTTTACTTTCAGAAGTATGACAGGACAATAGTAAAGCATAGTATCATTTTACCCCTGACCAGAATATAATAAAGTCAAAAACAAAAATAGAATAACTACTCAGTTATTTGGGATTATATGAGTTGATATGTGTAAGCATATTTTCTAGATATCTGGAGTATTAATCTTATAAATCCTAGATCTTCAATTTAACCTATTAAAATGGAAATCTTTTTAAGACTCTACATCTTTTGAAATTTTTTATGCTCTACATTTCCCTGCCTATAGTATATGGAATTATTTGAATCTTTTCTTCATGACTCATTGTCACCATTGTGACCATCCACTCTTTTATTGTGCTATAGATGTAGCTGTCAAAAGGTATGGGACATAGGGCTGAAAGAAACTTGCTTTACTGAACATATTCTTGATATCACTTTACTTGTTGGTTATTTGACCCTTTCTCAAAAAGATGAGAGTGATGTATAATTCTATGGGGCAATTAGGTGGCACAGTGGATAGTGCTTGGCTTAACAGTCAGGAAGACTAATCTTCCTGAGTTCAAATGGAAGACTAATCTTCCTGAGTTCAAATCTGGCCTCAGACATTTACTAGATGCACAGCACTTAACCCTGTTTTCCTCAGTTCTTTATCTGTAAAATGAGCTGGAGAAGGAAATAGCAAACACTCCAGTATCTTTGCCAGGAAAACCCCAAATAGGGTCATGAAGAGTTGGGACAATAAGAACAATAAATACTATATTCAAGACCTTGTACCATGGCCTAGTACACAAAGAAAAAAAATGAAATAACCCTTGCCTTCACAGGGCTTATATTCTACTGAGATTGGGGAAGGAGAAGGTATAGTATATATACAAGTAAGTATAGTAAAAAAAGAATAACTAGCTCCCACACTAAGAGTGATAATGGAAGGCATCAAGTAAGGGTTCATTGGGTTGTCTATACATTAAACTGAGTCTTAAAGTAAAATAAGGATTCTAAAAAGCAAAAATGAGAAGGAAGTGCATTCCAAGCCTATGGACAGCTCATTCAAATGCACAGAGGTAGGTGATAGAATACTGAGTATTCCACTTTAGCTTAAATATTTACTGTGTAGAATGTAAGGTATATGTATAATTATGCTGACAGTTATACTTATTGTTTAGTAGTCTCATTCAGAAGATGGCATGAGTTTTTAGTTCTATTTTAGCTATAAATTTATTCAATTCTGCGTTGTTGTTTTTGCTTATATTTTTGTTAAATTTATCCAGATCAGAGATAGGGATATTAAAGTCTCCTATCATTACTATGTGTACCTGTCAGTACAACTTGGAACTTCTGCAAAAATTGACCATATGTTAGGACAAAGACCTAGTGTAAATAAATGTGAAAAGACATTCTGTGGAAACTGATGGAACATATGGACTCTCCTTTGATTACTACTGACTGATATTACATCACTTCTTTTTTGGTCATATATCTCTTTATTTTGATATACTTCATACTACTTTTCTAAACTTCTTCACAGATTTTAGCTTTACAAGTAATTATCTTAAATATCATTTTTTTTTTCAGACTAAAATCTGCTCGAGATGTTGTTTCCCGAACTGGCCATTCATTGGCTCTTGGCTGTCTGCATCGATATGTTGGGGGTATAGGATCAGGGCAACACCTCAAGACCAGTGTTAGTATTCTACTAGCACTGGCGCAAGATGGAACTTCACCTGAAGTCCAGGTACAGTGTGATTTAAAAATTGTTTTTAAAAAGTTACTCTTTGCTGCCAAATTACAATCTCTTCAACGTGTTTCAAAGAAAATGCAGATTTCCTCCATCACCGCACATATGTCAGTCAGATATTACTTATGGACAATGAACTGATATCAGAAGTAAAAAGGAGCAAGAGATGAGGCTATATATATCTAATTTGGGAAACTGTAGAGTGCTTTCATTGGCTTGAAAAATTTGGATCATTTCATTCATTATGTTAAATGAATATTGAGATTCCTTTTGTGTTCTATTCCTCCCTTTCTCTGCCACTAGCTGGCTATGTGACCTTGTTAAGTCATGTTATTTTCTTTGGCCTAATTCCTTCACCTGTAAAGTAATGTGTTTTAACTAGTCAATCTCTGAGGTTCCTTATTACTTTAGAATTCTGTAATCCTCTTTAGTTTTGGCTTTGATTCATAAGCCTGTGTTCTTGTTGTTATTATCTAAAATTTCAAATAACAGTTTAGTACTTGTAAAATCTTAGTAATTATAGTTTCCTTTTTAAAATTCAATTTTATTTTCAATTCCAAGTTCTGTCTGTCTTCCTGCTATGCCACGCATTGAGAAGACAAAAAAAAAACCCCATTACAAATCTATGTACTCATTGCTTTAGCGATGTCCAAAAAAGAAAAAGAAAAGAAAGAAAACATACTTCATTCTGCACTCTTGAGTCCATCAGCTTTACCTGGAGATGGATAGTGTATGTCACTGTAAGTTCTTTGAAATTGTAATTAGTTATTGTGTTGATCAGAGTTCCTAAGTCATTCATAGTTGATTATCTTTTATGGTATTGTTGTTACTGTATAAATTCTTTTTCTGGTTCTGCTCACTTTACTTTGCCTGAGTTCATTTCATATTGGTCTTGCCAGGTTTTTTCTGAAAGTCGTCTTCCTCATTTCTTACAGTGCAAAAGTATTTCATCACATTCATATACTATAATTTGTTTAGCCCTTTCCTGATTGATGGGCATTCCTTCAGTTCCTAATTCTTAACTCCCACAAAAAGAGTTGCTATAAATATTTTTGTTTATATTGGCCCTTTTTGTCTTTTTAAAATTAGATATAGACCTGCTTTACAGAATGGCTGAACCAGTTCCTACCTCTGCTAGCTGTGCATTAAAGTAACTTGTTTTCTCATAGCCCCTCCAACATTTGTCATTTTTCCATTTTTTTGGTCAACTTTGCCAATCTGATGGGTGTGATGTGTTACCTCACAGTTGTTTTACTTTGCATTTCTCCAATTAGTGATTTAGAGCATTTTTTTGCATGTGGTTATTGATAGCTTGAATTTCTTCCTCTGAAAATGCCAGTTCATATCTACTTGCCATTTACTGTTTGGGAAATGGCTCTTACTCATATAAATTTGACTCAGTTCCCTATATATCTTAGAAATGAGTGCTTTGTCAAGAAACTTGCTTTTTTTTGCATTTTCCTGCTTTTCTAATTTTAGCTGCATTGGTTTTGTTTGTGCAAAAGCTTTTAAATTTTATTTAATCAAAATTCTTCATTTTACCTCCTGTGAACCTCTCTGTCTTTTGTTGGCTTATGAACTCTTCCCTTTTGCATAGATTTAACAGGTAATTTCTTCTGTGCTCTACTAATTTGCTTATTATGTCACCCTTTATGTCTAAATCATATATCCATTTTGAGCTTATCTTGGTATATAGCATGAATGCTTGTTTATATCTAGTTTCTGCTAGATTACTTTCCAGTTTTCCCAAGAGTTTTTGTTAAATAGAGATTTCTTGTCCCCATAGCTGGGATCTTTAGGTTTATCAAATACTAGATACTTCCATATATTGTATATCTAGTCAATTTTTCTGATCAACTTCTCTTTTTCCTATCCAGAACCAAATTGTTTTGATGATTATAGCTTTATAGTATAGTTTTTTTTTTTTTGGTTTTTTTTTTGGTTGGGCAATGGGGGTTAAGTGACTTGCCCAGGGTCACACAGCTAGTAAATGTTATGTGTCTGAGGCCGGATTTGAACTCAGGTCCTCCTGACTCCAGGGCTGGTGCTCTGTCCACTGCGCCATCTAGCTTCCCCTATAGTATAGTTTTAAATCTATTACAGCTAGGCCCCTTTCCTTTTTTAAAATGGATCCTCTTGATATTCTTTACCTTTTGTTCCTCCATTTGAATTTTATTACTATTTTTTCTAGCTCTCAAAATCCTTTGGTAGTTGGATTGGTATAGCACTGAATAGGTAAATTATTTTGTTAGTGTTATTATTTTTATTATATTGACTTGGCCTGTCAATGAACAATGAATTTGGATCTCTCTTTTTTTTTTGTGAAAAGTGTTTTATAATTATGTTCATATAGTTCCTTTGAGTTTCTTGGCAGGTAGATTCCCAAGTACTTTATACGTTCTGTAGTTATTTTAAAAGTAATTTCCTTCTTTATCTTTTCCTGCTGGATTTTATTGGTAATATACAGGATTGCTGATGATTTGTGTGAGTTTATTTTATATTCTGCAACTTTGTTGAAGTTGTTAATTGTTTTGATTAGTGTTTTAATTGACTTTCAAAGGTTTTCTAAACATCATGTCACATGCAAAAAATGATAGTTTTGTTTCCTCTTTGATTTTTCTTTTTCTTTTTCTTGTTTTATTATAGCTAACATTTCTAATGCAATATTGTATAATAATAGTGGGCATTGATATTGAAAAGACTTTTAGCTTATCCTCACTGTAGATAATCTTTGCTCTTGGTTTTATATAGATAGTACTTATCATTTTAAGGACAGCTCCATTTATTTTCATGCTTTCTAGTGTTTTTGAAAAGAATGGGTGTTTTATTTTTTCAAAAGCTTTTTCTATATCTGTTGAAATAAAGTATATGATTTGGGGCGGAGTAAAAGCAGTGACTTGCTTGAGCTCTCCCCCAAACCCCTCCAAATGCCTGTAAAAAATAACTCTAAACAAATTCTAGAGCAGCAGAACCCACAAAAAAGACAGAGTGAAACAAATTTCCAGCCCAAGACAACATGGATGGTTGATGGGAATTGTCTGTTGTGCTGGTCTGGGAGAGGAGCGCAGTTCAGCATGAGCCACACAGGCAAAGATGGGGCGCCAGTGAACCCAGAGTAGGCCAAAGGGAACTGAATCACTGGCAGCTGTGGTGATTTCTAGACTTCTCAACCCACAAACCACAAACACAGCTTAGGTCAGTAGGAAAGGTCTGTTGACCTGGGTGAGAGAGAAGCACAGTCTGGCCTCAGCTGTGGCACAGCCCCTGGGTGGTGGTGGCGGCGGCTGCTTCTGGTGCTCTCCGCCCACAGACAGTAGAGGGGTCAAGCGGCTGATCAGAGAGGGATTGCAGGGATCTCTTTGCTGGTGCTGAAGCAGTATTCTCTTGCTTTGCCTGTGATTGAATCTGGGTCACAGTCCTAGGTGGCAGTCCTAGGGCGAGGAGGAGTGCTGGAATGGCAGAGCTTGTGGCATTAGTGGAGAGGGAATCCTCCTCACAGTTCCAAGGCAGAAAAAGAGTGCTTGTGGTCACTCAGAAACCAGAGCACAGTCCAGGAAAGGAGTAAACACCTCTCCTTAGATCATACCACCTTGGAAGAACTGAAAATTTACAAGTCCCTAGAAGTATCTCTGAAAATAGCTGCACTAAACCCCTGAAGCTTGGGACAGTACATCCTCCACACTGAAAGCAGAGCCCTACCTTAACAAAGAGATAAAAGATCAAGTAATTGGCTGGGAACATGAGCAAACAATGGAAAAAACTCTGACTATAGAATCTTACTTTGCTGCCAAAGAAGATCAAAACATACAACCAGAAGAAGACAACAAAGTCAAAGCCCCTACATCCAAAGCCTCCAAGAAAAATATGAACTGGTCTCAGGCCATGGAAGAGCTCAAAAAAGATTTTGAAAAGCCAGTAAGAGAAGTAGAGGAAAAATTGGAAAGAGAAAAGAGAGTGATGCAAGAAAATCATGAAAAATAGATCAACAGCTTGCTAAAGGAGACCCCCAAAAAATACTGAAGAAAATAACACCTTAGACTAACCCAAATGGCAAAAGAGACCCAAAAAGCCAATGAGGAGAAGAATACCTTAAAAAGCAGAATTGCTCAAGTGGAAAAGGAGGTCCAAAAGGTCACTGAAGAAAATGATTCCTTAAAAATTAGAGTGGAGCAAATGGAAGCTGATGACTTTATGAGAAATCAAGACATTGTAAAACAAAACCAAAAGAATGAAAAAATAGAAGACAAGGTGAAATAAAAATTATTGGACTACCTGAAAACCCTGATTAAAAAAGAGACTAGACATGCTCTTTGAAGAAATTATCAAGGAAAACTGCCCTGATACTCTAGAACCAGAGGGTAAAATAGAAATTGAAACAGTCCACCAGTCACCTCCTGAAAGAGATCCCAAAAGGAAAACTCCCAGGAGTATTATAGCAAAATTCCAGAATTCCCAGGTCAAGGAGAAAATGTTGCAAGCAGCCAAAAAGAAACAATTCAAATATTGTAGCACCACAATCAGGATAGCACAGGAATGGGGTAAATTATCTCACATAAAAGAGGCAAGAAAAAGCTTCTATAGTGGAGGTGAAGAGGGAGCAAGTGAGAGGGAATGAGTGAACCTTACGCTCATCAGAATTGTCTTAAAGAGGGAATAGCATACACATTCAATTGGGTATAGAAATCTATCTTACCCTACAGGAAAGTAGGGGGAAAAGGAATAAGGGGGGGGGGTGTTAGAAGGGGGGGCGGGTGGGGCAGGGGGGTGATTAGAAGCAAACACTTTTGAGGAGGGACAGGGAGAAAGGAGAGAATAGAATACATGTGAGGTGTGATAGGATGGAAGGAACTATTATTAGTCTTTCACAACATAACTAGTATGGAAGTATTTTGCATGACTCTACATGTATAAACTGTCAAATTGCTTGCCTTCTCTATGAGATGGGTGAGAAGGAAGGAAGGGAAAGAATTTGGAACTCAAATTTTAAAAAATGAATG